ATGGGGTTAGTATCTTGCCCAAGGATATTTGGCATGCAGCCAGGAGGCATCGAACCACCGACCTTAGTGGCTGACCTGCTCTGCCACCTAAGCTACAGCCACCCCTAATATAAGCTTAGTCATTAACATACGGCTGCATGGGCTGGGCTGTAGTTATTGTAAGGTTTTAAAAACTGAGTTTAAAATGAACAGTGACAATAAAAACCGAAAGAGGCCACTTTGTAGGGGCTTGTTGAGATTTAATAAAACAAGATACAAAGCAATAAAACACATTAAAAAGACAACAGCATTAATAAACGCAGAGTAGTTTTGACCCGGAAACAGGGTTCATACGTCATCACCTAAACACCGGATAGGACAAACTGATCAGCCTCTTTAATTGGTGTAAATACGTCTGGCCTTGTCAACATGCTGCTCCGATTTATATTTGGGGAAGCCAGATTGCACTGGATAGTGGAGGGAGTAGCAGACAACGCTGCAGGAAATCATCACTTTTTCATCAATTTTCCAAAAGAAAGTCATTTTTTAGAGCTGCATTTTGACGCTATTATTAGCTGATGCTCCTCAACTAGAAAGATCTATTGCTTCTTTAATCAGCACCAAAGTTTCAAACTATGCTAACATAACAAAGTTTCCTCTGATGATCGATCAAACTTTTCACATTATAAGCTCGCAATAGGTAATAACATGTCCCATTTGTGATGGTAACAGATATTACATTAAAAATCATAAGTCATCCAAATCCATTCATTACTGGTCGTTTACAACTTCTCTCATCAGTTTTTATGCTTCATAGGTACATGAAGAAAAACTGTTTTTCAAAAGCCAGAATTTTAGAGCGGTAGAGTAATTATGCTTTGTATATCACTGTACCTACACCAAGCAACAACACAAGCCTGGGTAAGAAATTTGTTATTGATTACGACTGATGGAATATTTAAACTGTAGTCAGAAAATCTAACAGCTAACAGCTAGAGCAGATGCTAGCAAACTGCAAAGAAATCTCCATTTGCTATATTGATTCCAAAAAGCATTCATCGTGTAGCAGCTGGTTTTATTAATCACTGCATCGCCAAAGAGCTCTAAATACAACACATCCTCTCTTGATTCACTCAGCATTGACAGAAGAAGTTATCTGTGTACAGTTTACACATGGCAGTGTTGTTTTTTCCCCTAAACTGTAACAACAAAGGCTGTCTTTGCTTTATTAAAAAAAAAAAGACACCTTCATTCTGAGGAATCTTTTTCTCTTGAAGAGCACAGAGAGTGAACGATGCAAGGAGAAAATAAAGACCGACGGGACAAGACAAGCTCGCTTCTGCAGCAGTTCAACAGCTGTTGTGTCTGAAGCGAGCACCGAGCTCCTAATTTATGGTTCAAAGACTCTGGTGTCACGCAGCAGAGGAAAATGAGCTGCTGATAGGAGCCTGGCTCAAATAAAAATCTCGTTCCATCAAAGTTATTACGGCATGATACAATTCAATTTAATAAAGCAGTCTAGTGTGCTCCTCTCTTAAGTACAGGTGACCTGTGTGAAGTCTAGGCATTCCTAAATGTCAAATTAACTCCCAGAGCGCTGAGATGAGTCTGCTGATTCACAGCTCGGTAGAAATACAGAAAAGAAGTTACACAAATGCACATTTCTAAATGTGCGTTGTGGATTAATAGAGGCTGTGGGTGTAAGTAAACAATGCTGACGTTTATGTAAGAGATTAGAGTTTTAGCCACGATTGTGCAGCTCTTGTAAAGAAATGTCACTGCAAATGTGTAAAATCTGGTATAAGCTGAAGAAACAGTCACGGAAATGGTATTAATAGGTTATATTGTAATCTAGACACCTACAGACTTCCATGAGATGGAAAAACAATGGGACAGTCAAACAAGCAGTGACCAGCTTACAGTAAAAACCGAAACCGCAGGAAAACAGCAAATGAAAAGCTGGAAGACGTCTTCTTCTTAAAACTGGCACTCACCAGAGCCACCCCTCAGCATCCTTGTAGATGCACCTGTGGTATAAACGTCAAAATCCTAGGTGTTTTTCAGAAAAGTTGACCTCTGACCTTGAGGTCAAGGTCACCAGGATTCAATTTGAAAATTCTAAGTGACCACATTTTTAAGTTATCGCATTCACAAGATTGCCTTGACCTCTGACCTCTCATGTAAAGCACAAACTGTGGATAAAAGATGGCCAATGAGGTGAATTCTTTCTAACAGCCAGCAGGGGGTGGCTACTCTGGTTTCAAAAAGTATGTCCAAATGCATAGAAGTGTGTAAAAAATATAATCTTAGGAAACATTTCTTTTTCTTCGAGGGTCTTTTTTGTTTTTTTAATTAAAGTATAATGTTTATTTTGTAAATTGTAGTCCGATTTAAACTGAAAATGGATACAAAAAAAGAGACACTTTTAGGCTGTGTCTACTTTGATTGACAAAGTGCTACCACATGAGCGTGCAATGGTAATTGGATCGGTGCTCAAATAGAACTTTTTAAAGTTGTACTACAGACACTTTCATCCAGCCCTTTATCAGCGCCTTTCTACTCACTTCAGCACTCGAATTGAAAGTTTTTTTGAAAGTCCCATTCACCCATTCATACATGCATTCATACTTTTATCTACTTCGAAGTGCTTTCTTACCTTCACACACACACAAACACTCTCACACTCTGATGGATGCTTCAAGGGCAATTTGAGGTTTGGTATCTTGCCCATGGGTACTCCAGCATGCGGACTGGAGGAGTCAATGATCAATCCACTGACCTTCCAATTAGTAGCCAACCCGCTCTACCTCCTGAGCCTCAGCCGGCAGTCACTCACCTAACCAGTGATGTTTGGCTCAAAGACAAAAAGATGGCGGTTGCCAGCTTGGTACGGATTTCTTTGACTTCCATGTCTCTGCTACGTTTTTTTATGCTTTCTAACGATGGCAACATGATTAGTTTGAGGAATGAGTTCTGAAAAATAGTAACAATCAAGTCTTTTTTTTCCTAGCCTTTATTGATAGGATAGTCAGGAGAACAGTAACGCAGGGGCCGAGTGGGAGAACGACACGCAGATAATGACCCGAACCCAACTCTGCAACAGCCTTTCCACTTACAGGTCGCCTTCTCGAGTAAGCAAGCCACACCAGTTCACCCAAAACACCTTTTGAATGAGGTGACTGCCGGCTACGATCAGTCCAGACATCCGCTGCCAGCTAAATGCCACTCAGTTATAACGCGACTCGCCAGGAGTGGCAGCCTATCCAGAGTTCTACTTGAACTAGCAGGCAGATTAGTCTGTAGTGGAGAATCTCAACTTGAAACAAAAATTGATTCAGTGTAAGAAAAAGAAACTTAATTAAGGCCGATAAGGCATTCAGCTGATGATCTCACGTCAGCGGACTGTGACACCTCTGACTTTGATAAAGGTTGCAGCCAACAGGAAGCTACGAAGAGGCCACATTTAATCCTGCCTTTGGATCTGTTCTCATACCAGGGTTTCCCATAAAAAAAATCTTTTGTATTAGCATTCTCCAGTGCTTTTGTAAAGGCCAGGGGGTTTTGATACATTCCTATTCAACTTAGCTAAGACAATACCCCAGATAGCTTACCGTTCCCTGGATTCCAAGAGGCTGCCTTCTGAATAAAGGAAGCATTTTTCTGTCTCCCTCCCTCTCCCTCTTGCTGTCTTTCTTTTCCCCTGTGTGGTTGTGTAAAAGAGCTTACGACGGGCTTTAGGGAATTTCTTTGATGCCATAGGAGTTGTTGGACCCCGAAGGCTATACCTTCAAAGCTGGTTTAAATAACACGCTAATCGGCAGAAATCTGTTCACAAGATTATCATGCAGAGAGCGGAGCGCGCGCTCTCTCGCAGACAAAAGCTTGAGACGAGCACACGCAGCGTGACGCGTAAACACAAACACAGACACAATGACTGCGGAAATATCCTTCTTTGAAAGCGCACAGAATAGATCTCATTATCAGCTTGAGCCTAAAATTATAGCAAGGCTTTTTAAGGGTTCGAGATTCGCTTTAAAGCGAGAGAACCAGCTCGGCCTGGCGCTGAAAGGACGTCTCCAGGTGTCTTAAGTGCAGTACACCTGCTCACACACACACACACTCTTAATGTCACATGCAAGGCAAAGTGAGGGAGAAGTAATTAGCTGCTGTAGTGATTACAAATGTTTGGAAGGGCCCCCTTGTCCTCATTTAACTACCCTGCATGGCATGAGGGATTGCAGGAGGCGACTGGCTGGGTAAAAAGGAAAAAAAAGCCCAGCAAACAGAGAGATAAGGCCCAGTAAACATGTCACCAGCACATAATTAACCAGACTACCACAGTGTGCTATAAAATCTCACTCGAGTTTTGCAGGCATCGTTTCATCCCCCCTTCTCCAAACGAGCCCAGAATCTCCTTAATACCCAGATGAATTGTGTGCCAGATACAATAAAACCCATTTTATTAATTCTCCTTACGCTCGCCTCCTTTTAAGCCAGCAGACCTATATTTTTAGGTTGCCATGGCAGCAGGAACTTTGGGGGGGGATGGGATAAAAATCCAATGTCTTCAGAGAATAGGGCGATACATCATGGCATTATTTTTGCCCCGCTAGCTCCAATTATTTAAGTTTTACACGGTTCTTGATGTAAGCTGCAAAAAAAAGAAAGTCCCAGCGACGGATGCATCCAGTTTGGAATTACCCCACCAGGGACAACCGTAATGACACAACTTCTATTATCTGAGCTCGCTTGGTATTTATACACTGAATAATGAGCACCGATCCCTGATCTGCAGCACCAGTGGTTAATTCCTGCTAATAACTGACACAAATATAAACACAATCATTAGAGATAATTGTCAGTTTACAGCCGGCTGCCATCAGCTATAAGCAGCCCTGCCAGATTTCACCTCCTGCAAGACAGAGAGCATTACTCCAGTGACCTTCACACTTGATCCAACGCCTCAAAAGCTCCACTGTCAGCGTGAGGGGATCAATAGCTGCGTGGTGAACTTCGTGTGCCTGTGCAACAAGCAAGATCTGCCAAGGCTCTTTAGGAACGTGAGAGAAAAATACTGGGAAAAACAAACGATATCAAATAAAAATGCAACGACAGAAACGAACGCTCGGCTCTTTAAACTCATCTTATGATTGTCTGTCATAATTGGAAAATGCAGTGTCTTCCAGATGAGCTAATAATCTGTTTCCCAGCAGCTTGAGAACATAATTCTATCCAAGCTGGTTCACTCAAACAAACAAAGACAAATTAAATGTAATGTGCTCGCTGGCATTCAATTTCACATCCATCCACTCATCCATATATCCATCCACTAATCGATGCATCCAACCATCCACCCATCTATCATCCAACCATCCACCCATCTATCATCCACTCATCCATCCATCTATCATCCACTCATCCATCCATCTATCATCCACTCATCCATCCATCTATCATCCACTCATCCATCCACTAATACAGCCATCCACCCGTAATTCATCCATCTATCCATACATCCAACCATCTATCATCCATCCATCCGCTCATCCATGTAACGATCTATCCATCCACTCATCCATCCACTCATTCATCCATCCGTCCATCCACTCATCCATCCACTCATTCATCCATCCATCCATCCACTCATCCATCCATCCACTCATCCATCCATCCATTCATCCATCCACCATAAAAAAAAAAGCAAAGAGAAATCCATCCATGAGGTTTTCCCTCATTCAAACATTTAGATAACTTCAATTAATTAATGTGTATTTTTAACTTGGTAAACAACCTTTTTTGTTTAATGACTACAGCCACTATATTAAACACATTACCACACATACTATATTGCTTAATGATCATTAGAAAAGGAGGCAATAAAATAGTAAATGTTTCATTTACCATATACTTTGAAAGGAATGCATTAGTCAGTGTGTTGTAAACTGGCACTCTCTTTTTTACAAATCATCTGATTTTGCATACATGTACGTGTTTTATTTTGCTTTTTTTTTTTTTTTTACATGACAACATGCAAACTGCAAGCGTGGCTGTGCATACTTACGGATGTTGTCGGTGTTCTCTTGCACGATGTCCGTCTTGAGCAGGTTATCAGCCAGGACGAAGGCCCCCTGCTCGACCGTGTCCAGCAGCATGGTGGCGGCCCTCAGCTGCTCGCCTGTGCTCAGCTCCCTCCAAGCCGCCTGGGCCTGCGGCTGTAGCAAATTGTTGACGGTCTCCACCATGGCCTAGGGAGTTCAAATCATTGATTTAGTGAGAGGAAGCTAAGCTGGCCTGGGACTGCGGCAGCTTGACGTGGCGATGTGGTAAATGGTTTGAGTGAAGGAAGATCAAAGGGAGCTGAGCACTGAGAAACAAATCGCACAATCCTGTGGGACTGTGCGAGGAAGAAGCGTGGAGAGTTTCTTTTTTCACCCCTTTCTCTTTTTCATTTTAGCTTAAATTTCATAATAATTTTTATATTGAGCAATTTCACGAGTCTATTTCCCATTCACTTAAAAGACATGGATCATCGACCTGCAGCAGCGACACCTGAATCTGTAATGACAATGGATGTTGCTCTCTTGTGTTTTTGCTGCTGTTTGCTTTTATCTACAGGGAGAAAAAAAAAAAATCATGTAAATGAATCAGAGTCAGTGCTCACAAGTCCAGAGACCAATTCTTACATGACTTGAGGCAGGGGTCTTTAATTGGTGTGATAAATGTTCTTCCATGCAGACAATCCCAATGCACAAACGCACTACAAAATAAATGGATAAATAAATTTTATAACAATTAATAATTATAACACAACAATTTTCAAGAGATGTAAAAGATCTTTGCTAGCAGCAGCAGCTATCTGCAGCCATTCGAATCGGATCTTCTCTGCATATTAATGCTGTCGAAGGACTAATATGCCATCTTTAATTTCCCCGCAACAATGCCGGAGCGGGTAAGGAGGAAACAAGAACATCCTCCAGACAAGATGAAAAATTAAGAGCCATTAAAGATTTAAAAATGCCAATGGCGAGATTTAGGAATGGAATACTAATTGGTCAAGCAAGGCAATTCATTCCTGGTACCAGTGCTCTGAAAGAGCTAAAAGAGCCTGACCGCCGCTGGGACAAAAAAGAAGCTATTTCTAAGCCATTACAGTGCAGTAGGTGGCTAATAATGCTAGTAATAGTCGCTTTTCCAGGCTTCATCGTGAAAATCACAGATTTAATTCAGTTCTTTTAAAAAAAGGTCAAATTTGGATTCCCTCTTTACACTTCTTTAAAAGCAATTGTGACAGTTTGTGCAATTGTGACATCCCGAAAGTGGAAGTGAAGGTGCACGTGAACGTTGGTAATGCCACACCACAGAACGGCCTCTGTGAACCTCGCTTTTATCGTCTTTTTTGATCAATGGATTTATGAAGGGGAATAAGAGCTTTAGTACGACTCCACAACAGCATGGGGATAAAGCTAAAGGCGATAAGAGGAGCCATGTGCTCGAGTGTATTAAAAGCATTCCTCATAAAAAAAAAAGGTGGGGGTGGGGGTTACAGTCACGTGGAATAAATCTAATAGCTCCCCCAGCCTCGGATACTTTATAATTTTAACTTTATGTTTGTCTCCAGCCACCGTGATAGCAAGAGGAGTCAGAGTACTGATTGGGAATTTCAAATAGCACCAGCTGGCTGTTCCCCATTCAAAACATACCCTGTACACATTAATCCGCCCACACACAGTCACAGACACACACAGCACTCAGAGGCTGACGCAAGAGAGAGCACACACCTGTTAGTATACAGGAACATACACAAAGTCAGTGGTAGGCACATACGCCGACTTCAAGCCGTGCCGGGTAATACAGCCACACACACACACACACAAACACATGCACACACACACACACACACACACACACACATGCACAAGCAGTGCACCAACTTTGATGTAATTATTCATTATCTGCAGCCAATCTCCAATCACACCTTCTGACATTCAGCTAGAGGCAAAGGTTGATTCACTCTCAATTAAGGAGCTCTCTTTCTTCAGGCATTGACATTTTTTTCCCCTTCTTTGTTCCCTCCTGCAAGATTTTCTTTCAGCACTTCTTAAAACACTGAAATAATGGTTCTTCGGGGGGGAACGATTGATGGACTCGCAGACGAGGTCGTCTCGCTTTTTTTCCTCCACATGCGCAATAGATGCAAAAGGAGAACAAGGTGGCAGACCAGTCCAATCCTGGGGATGGGTCAGAAAACGTGACGCCCAAAATTAATATTGGAATAAAGGATCAGCTCTCACACTGGTCCTTCAGGCATTTTATTTTTTTATTAGATCAGCTAAAAGAAAAGCAATAAAGCTGACACTGATGCACGGCGCGTCATTTGGATGCAACAGATTAACCAAACCACTGTGACACAAATGACTCATTACTGTTATTAATATGTATAGAGCATGCAAATCTTTACCTCATTTAAACCAGAGAATGATATTATGACACAAACACTATAGGATATTGTCACTGTGTTGGATTGACAGTATATGCTAGCCCTGATAAGACCTGAAATTGAGCATGCGGTTCCAATATGCATTACATTGTAATGCAAAAATGTATTCTTCAGTGTTTATAATAACCGGCAGCCGGGCTGGTTTATGATGAAGAAGCTACAGACAAATTGTGTTGGAAGGAAAATCCAAGGCAAACTTTATCCTTCTGCACTGAAACTCCCATTATCATAATACTTTTTGTGCTCATTTCAGGCCTGTGTTTTGTAAAATAATTTGCAACAATTTTGACGGCTGAAATAATTTCAGATAAAGGTCACGGCGAAGGAAAAATAGCTTCTGTGCCAATACACTGTGTCACCCCGTGTTCATCTATTCGTGCACTGCAGCAATGAATGAGCACTTTCTTTTAGGGCCTTAAACAATCTGCAATTTAAAGGCTGAACATGTTGCAGAAATGTCAGATATTTAGTCAAGCAGTATATGGATACACTTTTATTAGATTTCTTGTAGGTAAAGTCATGTGATTGTATGCACTCCTGTGAAAAAATAAGTACATCCTTGTAACCAAGTGCTGCTAACCAAATGTACTTAATTAGCAGATCGTCTGGTTTGGAGCATTCAGCTGTGTATTAACACAATGCCACAATCTTCCCAGGAGTGGACATCTGCAATGCAAGGCTAAGGGAAACTCTAGAAAACCCCAAGAGCAACATGTCAGACTCTACAGGGCTCAGTTAGCATGTTAAAAGTTGAAGTTCATGGCAGCCAAGTTTGGTTGGGAGGGTTAAACAACATGGCAGCATGGCTTAGCTTTGCAAAGCTGCGTCTGAACAAACAAAAAGACTTCTGTAACTTTGGGCAGATGAGACCCAATTGGATGTGTTTGACCATAACGTAGAGCAGCGGTCCCCAACCTTTTTTGCACCACGGACCGGTTTATGTCCGACAATATTTTCACGGATCGGCCTTTAAGGTGTTGCGGATAAATACAACAAAATTAAACCAGTACCTGTAACAAAAAAAGAAGATTGATTCATAACACACGGGACAAGACCTAGGGAAACCGAGTTAACGATAAAAATGATTTTAAAAAAAAATAACGCTAAAAACCGATAAAACCCCTGAAAACCATGAATTTCAAACCTGAGCCTCAACTCTTCCGGCCCGGTACCAAACGACTCACGGTACCGGGCCGTGGCCTGGGGTTTGGGTACTGCTGATGTAGAGCACCACGTTTGTGAACACTAAACATGGCGTATCAGCACAAACGCCTAAATCATCCTGGATCATAGTGGTGGTGAAAGGATGACAACTTGTGCTTGTTCAATGGCCTCAGGGTCTGGGCACCTTGCAAGGTGCACCTTGAGCGATGATGACCTCCTCTGTGTATCAAAGTATTCTAGATTCAAATATGAGGCCATGTGAGGCTAAAACAAAAGGACAAATGGACAATGATCCCAAACACGGCAACAAATCTACAACAGAACCACTGAAAACAAAGAGAATCAAAGTGCCACAATGGCCCAAAGTCCAACCTTCAACCTGAGTACATTAAGGAAATATTGCACATGTTTAAATAATAGACTTTAGAGATGCTGGCAGCAAATCTGGTTTCCCTTTGGAGAAATCCAGGGTAGTCATGATTTCCTGTTTCCATATTTGTGAGAAGTTTGGGTAAATGGTTACTTTGGTTAGCTTCAAATTTCCAGTATAGGCAGGAAAAGGACACCAAGCTCTTAACCTAATATTCCAAACTGTTTATGTCTAATGTTCAACTGTTTTTCAATGGATGCTATTTTGTGAGGCAATCCATTGTGAATACTCAGTGGAGACACCGTGTTCTTTATTTACGAAAGCTAGCGGCATCTTTACCCGTCTTCCCATTAGATCAAGCTGTCACATTTTACTTTTTCTCCAAGATCTTTCACCCAAAGGCAAATCTCTAGTCTGCAATATGTCACCATTGATTCATCAAAAAGCAAAGTTTCTTGGCACAGGCAGTAGGTTAAAGAGATTTGCTTTGAAACATGAATGAATAAAAATAATAACATTAATTAAATAAAGTAAAAGTGAAAAAATGCAGTTAAAGGAAAATACTAACAGTCATTAAGTCAACTTTCCCTTTTCCAGTGAAGATCCTGGCCATTTGCAGTCCACAGCTCTTATGTTTGAACTCTTAAATTAAATCCACCCACATGTTAAACCTTTGTTGAACCCCAGAATTAATGGAAAAGACAACAAACCAAAGAAAAAATGATCAAAGCTCTTTCACTGGACCTAAAAGGTTAATGGCTGTGTTTAGCACAAATAAACACATCCAAAAAATCTTTTTATTAAACTGATGGACCTGAGGAACACGCTAGCCCTGCCAGCATCGTCAGGCTACTAGACAGCTAAAATACCCAACAATTCCCAGGAGCTAACAAGTCCAAAGGCATGCTTGTTAGATTAATTGGTGATATCCGTATCCATCCATCCAAGCAGCCATACAACAGGCAAGTATGGCTGCCAGTGAAAGTGGGCCTCTAGTGTTTATTGATCATGTGACTGCTGATAGAAGCAGCAGGATGAATTGTGAAGTTCTGAGAGCTATACTCTCTGCTTACATTCCCCCAAATGCTGCAAAAATTATAAGCAGCACTTCACAGGGCAACTAGATAATGGCCAAAAGCACACTGCAAAAGCAACCCAAGAGTTTCTAAATGTAATGAAATAGCATATTTGAATAGACTTGAATAGACAAGTCGTTCACCTGATCCCAACCCAACAGATGTTTTTCAGCCACTGAAGCTAAAACTGAAAGCAGAGAGACTCTCAAACAAGCAGCAATTTAAGGCATCTGCAGAAATGGCCAAGCAGAGCATCTTGGTGGAGGAAATACAGCACTCGCAGGCTACAAAGAGCTTTCATTGAAATATAAAAAACAATCCTCTTATTTAAAGTTATGTTAGTTTGCCCATTTTACCTTTGAGGCGCTGAAATTGGGAGAATATCTATAAAAATGGCTGTAATTCCTAAACAGTTAATGCAACAGTTTTTTAAAGCCTTGTAATTAAAGCTGGAAACCTATACACTTTAATCATTTCTTGATTGGGGCTGAG